AAGGGGAGTGAGGGAAGGCAAGAGGAAAGAAGATGGGGGGGGGTAGAGTGCGTGGGAGAAGAGGAGAGAAAGAGGATAGAAGGGAAGAGAAAGCGAGGGATGAGGAAGATATGGAGAGCGAGGAAGAAGAGGAGGGGAAAGGAGGGAAGGAGGCAAAGGCGGATGAGGGAAGAGGAAGAGGAGGAGAACGATGATGAAGATGGGGGAGACAGAGAGGGAAGGAAAATAGGATGGGGGAGGGAGCGAGGAAATGAGACTAGGAGTGGGGATGGGAGCAATGTGGATGGGAGGATAAAGAAAAAAACGGTAGTGAGGGAGGGGAGGAAGAAAATGAGGGGTGGGAGATAGGGAGTGATTGGGGAGAAGGGAAGAAAATGATAAGGGAAAGGGGAAGAGAAAGGGAGGGAGGTGGAGGAGGAAGAGGAGAGGGAGAAGGAGGAGGAGGAGGAGGAGGAGGAGGAGGAGGAGGAGGAGGACGAGGAGGAGGAGGAGGAGGAGGAGGAGAAGGAGGAGGAAGAGGAGGAGGAGGAGGAAGAGGAGTAAGAGGAGGAAGAAGAGGAGTAGGAGGAGGAGGAGGAGGAGGAGGAGGAGGAGGAGGAAGAGGAGGAGGAGGAGGAGGAGTAGGAGGAGGAGGAGGAGGAGGAGGAGGAGGAGGAGGAGGAGGAGGAGGAATAGGAGGAGGAGGAGGAGGAGGAGGAGGAGGAGGAGTAAGGGGAGGGGGAGAGGGAGAGGGAGGAGCACCGAACAATGCAGCTGAAAGACGTCCGATATGAATATTGTTTGTGATCAATCGAAGGAGCCTGAATTGAGAGGCTGGGAGCAGAGAGGACAGGAGAGAGGAGGAGGGGGTGGGGGGTGGGGAGGGGAGCAAATGAGGGGGGGACAAGGGGAGAAGAAGGGGATGCGACTGAGGAGAAGTGGCGGAGAAGAAAAAAAAGGTGAAAAGGGGAAGGGAGGTAAGGGACAGAAGAGAAGAGAAGAGAAGAGGGAATATGTGGAGAGACGAAGGGGTGGGGACTGAGAAGAAGGAAAAAGGGGGGGGGCTGGGGAAAAGGTGGTAGACATGGAAAGAGAAGGAATGAGGAGAGAACAAGGCGAAAGAGGAAGGAAACATATCGTTCCTTTCTCGCTGCTCATGCTTCTCTCTTCTTTTCCTTTTTCCTTCTTCCTCCTCTCTTCCCCCTACATCTTTTCTTCCTCGGATGTTATGATAAGACGACTGGCGAAGAAAGCAAGGGGCATGCAAGTGACACAAAAGCCCCAAGAAAGAGGAAGAAGAGGAGAGAACAGAAGGAGGAGAGAGAAGTGCTGATGCCACTTAGACCTCGAGATAAGAGGAAAATAAGACATGATGGAGATTGGAGTGAGAGAGAGCGGGAGAGAGAGAGGGAGAGGGAGAGGGAGAGGGAGAGGGAGAGGGAGAGGGAGAAGGAATAGGAGAGGGAGAGGGAGAGGGAGAGGGAGGGGGAGAGGGAGAGGGAGAGAGGCAGAGGGAGGGGGGGGAGAGAGGGAGAGGGAGAGGGAGGGGATGGGGGAGAGGGAGGGGGAGAGGGAGCGAGGGAGAGGGAGGGAGCGAGGGAGAGGGAGAGGGAGAGGGAGAGGGAGAGAGGGAGAGAGAGAGAGAAGGAGAGTGAGAGGGAGAGGAAGAGGGAGAGGGAGAAGGAGAGGGAGATAGAGAAAGAGAGGGAGAGGGAGAGGGAGGGGGAGGGAGAGAGGGAGAAGGAGAGGGAGTGCATGCGGCGGGGCGAGGGCGAGGGGAAAGGGGCCGCGTGGGCAGAATCCCTGCTGGGAATCAACCTTATCTTTTCCTCCTATTGCGACGAAGGACGCCAGACGAAGGCGCCGAAGGGAACACAAAAGACGCGAGAAGGAAAAGCCACGACACTTTTCCCACACGAGAGCGACGCCATTCAGGACACGGCGGATAAACACTTATAAACACGAAATCCTCTTCATTAAGACTCCGATCTCCTTCTCGCGGCTAATCGTCGTTTTCATCTGTCTTTCCGTCTTTCACCCTCCGCCTATCCTTCACCTGTATTATGTCTCACTCGCAGACGCATAAGGAGTATTTTTTCCTTCATGGATATATATAGCATATATATATATATATATAATATATATATATATATATATATATATATATATATATATATATATATATATATATATATATATGTGTGTGTGTGTGTGTGTGTGTGTGTGTGTGTGTGTGTGTGTGTGTGTGTGTGTGTACATAAATATATATGTATATATATATATATATATATATATATATATATATATATATATATATATATATGTATACATATATATATATATATATATATATATATATATATATATATATCTATATATATATATATATATATTATACATATATGTGCATGTGTGTGTGTGTGTGTGTGTGTTGTGTGTGTGTGTGTGTGTATGTGTATATATATATATATATATACATATTTACACATCCATATGTAACTTCCGCCTTTGTACTTTTGAA